GACAACAAACGAGATTTTCGATTTTTTTTTTTTTTTTCTGGACCAGACGCTAGCCACGGTCAGTTAATCGGATTATATTTAATTGACAACGTTAATTTAGACGCCGACTGTAACGAAGAAACTATATATTATTTTACCGTTTTACGGCTGTGTGTTTTTCGGTTAGCGAAAAAGGCTCGAGTTTGTTACCGCGGCACGTTGAAAAAAGAAAAAGAAAAGAAAAGTAAAGAAAAGAAAAAAACACCGTTTAGGTTTCCGACACTTTGTCCGTATAGAAACCAAAACGACAAAATACGTCGATACGTCGGTTTTATTGTCGACGGTCGAGTTCCGGATTACTATTGCGCCGTTGGGGCCGCATCCGAGTTCCGTCCCGAACGTGAAATTTTAATTTGAGGATGCACTATGGTTCCGTCCCGGGTTTCGAAAACGTACAGCGTACTAATCCCGTCCCGTGTAATTTATTTAGTTTTACGATTTGCATTTTCTACATTATATTGGACACGGTGTGTAAAATGTACGGCTACGAAAACAGTTTAATATTGTTCAGTTTTTTATCGTACTTATATAGGCAATCATATTTTAGTTAACCTTCTTTGTGTTAGGGACGGGAATCAGTGTATAATATATTTTTTTTTCGCCCGGGACGGAATCGGTATGAAAAAAGAGGTTATTGGGACGGAACTCGGATGCGGCCTTTATTATAGTTACGGGGCGGAAAAATACACCGATTAATTATTATCGCGCTACTATATTATAATATACCTACACGCGTGCTACTGCGCTGAGAATCGTTTTTTTTTTCCTCGTTCGCAATAATACTCTGCGCAGTAGGTTTACGTGTAATATGCCCGCTAACAAATTACCCGGTATGCATGTATATGTCTTCCCGGCCGATACCCTGCAGTCTGTACTTACTGCAGAACGGCGAAGCGCCCCGCGTGCGCGACCGAAAGTACCTATCGACGGCCGCGGGGAGGTTTTTTTTTTTCGTAATTAATTGCCCACGCGCCGCCCGTACTCTTTCGATTATGATCCGTTTGTGTGCGACTCGTCGACTTTGTTATTAGTTCTGATTGCGTGCAAACGATTTGACAATGACAGAAAAAAAAAAAAAAGTTCGAAAACCACCGATATCAACGACCGCGGCGACCGTCATCGCTATTATTACGGCCCGCCGTAATCGCGACGATATTAATACAATTTACATATTAACAAAGGTATAATACGTTGAGATGCACAATAACGTTTTCGTAAAAATGTATTGTTAGAATATCGTGCGTTATACACGGGTGATGAACGTCAACGTGATCTTTAACGAATCGGCGTGTCGTATTCGAAATCCTATTCCTTGTACAGGGCGCCGGATACAAGGTCCAATTAAGGAACAACGGCCGTTTTCTCTCTCTCTCTCTCTCTCTTACGGCACACCCCGCGAAAAAATCCCGCGCCAGCGCTGCGGCTATAAATAATTCCGCGTGTCACATCTCGAGCGTAAAATTCGATCGAGAGCGTCGGGGTTTTTTTTTTTTTTTTTTTTATCAGTATATATTATCTACAACACGAACGAGAACCGCGTTTGCGCGCGTGTCGTCGCAGTCTCACGTACGCGATCGGAGACCGAGGGGGGGGGGGGAGGGTGAGGGGGAGGCGTTTACGTTGGGCAGCAAAAGTCGAAACGACGCGCGTCTAAACGCGGGCACCGATTGCGACGCGGCGCGATCCGTAACGGTTATCCAACTGTCGGACATTCCATAAGACTGCCGTTGCGGGGCCGACGCGGACGCGCAATACCGTGGCACGTCGCTGTTATGATGCACGCGCGCGGACAAAACCGGTCGACTGAGACCGCGGTCGTTATTGGATGATTATTTTTCGACGGCCGAAAACCCGACGTTTGTCACGCCGCGGCGCGCGCGTTCCGTCCGATATTCTTAAGGTTTTTTTTTTTTTTCTCAATCCCTTTTCTCGCGCTACGCTTTTATATTCGTTTTCAATCGCTAAACGCACAAACGTCAATACCGCGTAATCGTTCACCGCCGCTGCAGTAAACACCGTTCGCCGTGCCGTCACGTTTACGTAGACGTGCCGCCCGTCCGGAATCGCCCTAGACTGCGCCCCAGAGGGCTTCTGCAACGTTGACGCCGCCGTGTTTCGTCGCACGCGATCGAATACGGGTCTAGGCGCGAAAATGAGCCGGGAACGATTGCAGCGCGGTTCAGCGGTTTTGTAAATTCAAAAAGAATATCCTACCCGCGATTGAAACGACGCATCGGGTTATTTCACTTGTGTTCCCCCATTCCCCCCCCCCAACGGTTTATCACGCGGAAAAATTTAAAAAAAATATCGGCGCGACGGAGGCGCTGTTGTGACTGGTCCAAATCCGTACGCGTATAATATTGACATTTCGACACACACGTAGCTGAATTACGTAAATCACGTTATAATATTTCGATACACACATCTTAATATCGGTGAACGATAATATTTTTTTTTTTTTGTTTTTTTACCTTTCAATAGGCACGTTACTACGGAATTTTTTAAATTGTGTAATTGACCAGTTATCGAATAATTAACGGTGACACACAGTATTGCGCCTACGCTGCCATTTTGTTTCCGGTTTGATAACGCCATAGCGTATTTGCAATAACCGGCATATTTCAATCGCGATACTATATCGATTGCGAAAATATAATCAACAAAACTCAATGCTAAAACTTCTATATTTAAGGGGCAAAGCCCCCTCCCCCACCGCGGATTTGTGTATCCCGATAAGCGTTTGCGCCCGCACGAGTTTCCGCCAAGTGCCCCGTCTCGTATGCGTGTACGGGTCACGACTACTACGCGTTTCCGACCGCTTTTCCGTGTGTACGCGAACGATGCGTCAAATACCCCGCAGATACCTGCAGCACGGGACCGGATTTTGAATACCGGTCGGCTAATAGAAAATCTCGGCGGGCCGCGCAAAGCCGTACGAGTTGCGTGTTAAATTCGATCGGGTCCGCGTAATTTCGCGGTAACATTTCAGGGCTATTTGTCCAATAACAAGTTGCCGGAAAAGGCAGAAAAAAAAAAAAAATTTAAAAATTTCGGGCCGTCGGATGGTTTCGACGTTGCGGACCGCGGACCGCGGGCTCGTCACCGTCAAACATCGAACGGTCGATGATATTATCGGCGCGGTAATTGCGCGCATACGTGTAGTCGTACATTTTTTACCGATATTTTTTTATTGACACGCGATTGTGTGCGATATTAAACAGTTTACGAACGTCTTGTCGTCTCGCTCTGAACGTGAAATACACCGAACAAATATTGTCCTATTACCTATAAGTCGGACGACGGGCAGATCTAAAACTCCGATATTGAATTGAACTTGTACGGAAATTTGACGCTATCCGATTTTCAACGTTTGCAACGTGTTACGTGCGCAATATTATTTGTATAATCCGTTCGTTATTGCGATTCATTATAAGCGTGACGCTCACTTTTGGGTTTTCGAATTTTTTATAAGTGCACTAAGCGCAGTCAAACCCGATATTTTCGAATATTTTGCATATCCCGTGCTGGCGACGCCGAATTCGGTTTTTCAAAAAGTGCTTAAATGCAAATTGTGAACCGGATGATTTTTTCGAAAATTTTAACGGCGAGCGGCGTTTTCGTAGTGGTCGTTACCCCGCGTCTTTCTCCCCGTGAACTAAAAAGCGAAATATCTCGTCAATAACACTGAGATTTATTGAAACCGTCTATTATTATTATTATATTTATGGAATTCTCACTGCAGTTTCTCGTTTGAAAAAACCCAACATCGCGAATTCGTAACCGCGGTACATAGAAACGGGGTGAGCGTGCCTAACGAATCGCACTGTATGCGTATATTAAATATAAACACGTATATGTTATACGCACGTTGAAATTGGATTTCGTCTCCGCGCGCGTTGAAAATTAAATCGAAAAAGAAAACAAAAAAAAAAAAAAAAAACAAACCGAAAAGAAATTGTATTTTTAAACGCGCTGTCGAACGTTGCGCTTATAAAGACTATTTTTTTTTTCCCCTCCCGTTCTATCATTATTACTATAAAGTTAATTGACTGTTACTGCGGTATACCATACGGTTGAACACAATTTATGTTTCGGAAGACCCAGTCGGTCGGTAAATGTTTTATACGTTTTACGACCGAGTTTTCGTCGTGTATTACCGTGGCACATACCGCGGCACAAAGTCGTTATTTTTTTCTTTAATCGTCTCGGAGAGCGCGCGAGAGCATATTATTATTATTGTTATTAATTCCCGTTTTCGGCGCGCGCGAGCGGCCGGTACCTCCGTGAAATCGCCGCGGCCGCGGCGTGCCCGCCGGTCGGGCATTCGACGCCGCCGGAGAAATAATTGACAACGACGGGGAAATAGGTATCGTCGTCGTCGACATTATTGTTGCGACGGGTCCGGGCGCGGCCGCAGCGGCCGTCGCCGTCGCCGTCGCGGGAATAGGTTCGCGACGACGGCGGCGAGGCGAACGCCGCGTCCGGCGAATGGTGGCGACCGCGGGCGCGCGGACCTCCCGCCAATTATTGTTTTATTCTAATGAAACGGCGAAGAAGTCGCCTGGGCGGACGGGGGGGCCGTACCGTTCGCGTACGGCCATTGGTCGCCCCGTCGCCGTCGCCGTCGTCGTCGTCGTCGTCGTCGTCGTCGTCCTTCTCTCGCCGCCGTCGCCGTCACCGCCGTCGACGCCGTCTTCCTCTGCGCCGCAACCCGGTGCCGGCCGTCCGTGGTGCCGCGGCGCGGCGGCTCCGGTTCGCGGTGGTGCCGGCTTCGGCGTGCGGCGGCTGCGGCGGCGGTGGCAGGGGCCCCGACCGAGTGGAAGGGCGGCGGCGGCGGCGGCCCAGGTGTACCGTCCGTCTCTCTCCGACGCATTGTTTCACCGCGTTATTATTACCATTTCCCCTCCCTCCCCCGAACGTCGCGCCGGTGACCCCCTCCAACGGCCGCGTGTAATTAATATATGCGCGCGGCCGTTACACCGGGTCCCCCCGCCGCCGCCACCGGCCGCGATGACGGCGGCGGCGACGGCGACGACGACGACGACCGTCGTCGCATCGGCCGCCCGCCCGCCCGTCCGCTCAACCGACGGCCGAGCGACGGCGATCGTCGGCGGGCGGCGCGCGCGGCGCGCCGGACGGGGACCGCCGCCGAGTCGCCGGCTGCCGAAACGACTACCAGTTGTACGATGACCGCCGGCGCCCGTGTCCACAGGACGTGCCGAGTACCGCTCCCGTCGCCGAACACGTGCCGCCGCCGCCGCCGTCGTCGTTGTTTTTGCTATCAGTGCGATTGTTGTTAACACGTTCATAATAATATTACATACACGTACACACGCATATTATAATTATATTGTTAATTATTATTTACCTACACACATATACACACACACACACACACACACACACACACACATACACACACGCGGCGAAATTAGAAAATTTCAATATTACGATTACGGTTTTCATATCCCGTCGACAATTTATCATATTATCGTTATTGTATCGTTGTAAATTAAAACCGTCGTGTACCGCGGCCGTTTGTAATTGAAAACGCGCTATTATAACATATCGAAATTTTAATAAATTATTACCGTCGAATACAACAATATTATCGCCGTCGTCTCACCACAATAACGATGATTGTTGTTACACGCATTTTGTACAATAAATCGCAATAACATACACGCGCGCGCGCGCGCGCGACAATAATATTGTTATCGACAACAGCAATACCCGCGGGGATTTTGTGCTCGCGTGTGCGTGAAAACCGAGTGTTTTCGGAGGATTCTTATTCGGTGCGCCCCGGAGACTATATTTAGACCCGGGAAATCGCCGGTCGATCCGCGGTTAATTATCGAAATCGGTTCGTTTCGTCCCGCCGACCGAGTGCGACCGCGCGCGCCGACCGACTGCAGGAGCAGCGGCAGCGGCAGCAGCAGCAGCAGCAGCAGCAGCAGCAGAGACTCGCCGCCGAAGTACGTCCACGAGGGACCGCCGCAGCGATCGTCGTTCCAGGTAAATGTTTACGAATTTTTTTATATCCCGTCCGGTATCGTTTGGGTACGAGCACCGCAGCGAAACCAGCTCGTGACGGAGTTATCGTTCGGTTTCCCGCCGAGTTCCCGTCACCGGAGGAAATCACGTAGAACACACGGGATTTATAGTAGTGCGCAGGGTTGAATCGTGCCGGTATATTGCCCCGTGGAATTTTTTTTGACCTCCCTCTCTGTCCGTTAATTAAAAAAATTCAACACTGACTGGAGAATAGAAAAACGAAAAAAAAAAAAAAAGTCATTACTATGATTTTAGTAAAATGTCCTCGAACCCTCCCCCCCCTCATTCTAGAAAAATTTCTCGGACTCAACAGATTTCCGCCTTATAAGAGGGGCGGGGGTTCGGGGGTCCTGTCGAGGTTTTACCGTGTACAAAGGCCGCGCGTACGAAATCGACGAGGGCCGACCGCGCGCGTTATTCGTATATACGCCCGTCATCCGACCCCGCGGCACACGATCATAATATTGTATTGTATAAACACGTCGTGTGGCGAGCCGAAAAACAAAAATCGATTCTTCTTATTTTTTTCCTCTTTTTTTTCCCGCTTTTTCCGAGGGTCGTTACGATATAATTAGGTTTCGGGACGCGCGAGGGGTTCTTCTCGCAATATTTCCCGTTTATAATACACTCGCGGGCGGCCCCGTATCATCCGCTGTACAGTATACACACGTACGCATAAATATAAATACGGTGCGGCCGAAATCCGCGTGCCCGTCCGCGGCGTCGTCGTCGTTGTTATTGTAATTTCGGAAATATCGTTTTCGCCCGTTTCGTCGCAAATTAAAAAAAAAAAAACACGACGAGCGGGCGCGGAACGCCCGAAAATCGCCGGACGGTGTCGGGCGCGTCGGGCCCCCGCGGTCTTCCCGGCGATTACCGCGAAACGGCCGAAAATTCCCGCCGATTACCAAGACGCCGCGGTCGTACACCGGTCGTTTTGGCGATCCGCCCTCTCGGAAAGCGCCCGCGTCGAAATACGCCGCCGACCGCGCGATAATTACGGATCGACAATCGCGAATAACGCGCAGACACGGCGGCGCGGGTTTCCCGTGACTTTTCGACGCGACGATATCGTCAACGCGTCACCGCGCCGAATTCGTGACGGGGCCCGCGCAACGATTGTCGGCCGGGTGGAAAAACGTTTAAACGATTTAAACCGCGACTAGCGTTTGCACGGGCGATTGATAATTCCCGCGCGAGGACGTTTGCGGGTCCGCATAACGTACAGTTCGGAAAAAAAAAAAAAAACGTTCCGATTCCGGGCGATTTCGCGAATAAAAAACATGTCCGGACGACGCGAAACCGCTCGCGTTCGACCGTTCGAACCCGACCCGTCCGATCTGACGACGGTTCCGGGACGCGCGTTTTCCGTCAACCGCCCGATCGCGGCGGTCCGCAATCCGCGCGGCCCGTTGTGTACGCAACGCCCGGTTCCGCGATTCCCGCGATTTCCCGCCGCGGGATTGCCCACGGTTTTCTATTGGACCGCCGGCGATTCCCGCGATTTCCGAGCGTGGCGGGTATTTCGGCGACGCGCGGGTGTCCATCGGTCTAATAGCAACGACGGATATTCCGGCGGCAGTGCGTCACGACGACCCGCGCCGGGTACGGGCGGGCGCGCGCTTTTGCCGTTACTGTTCCGGTGCCGGGCGCTTGTCCGCGCCTATGACGGGCTCGCCCGCGTATGCGCGTGTACGATAAGCGCGTGGTTGGGCGCGCAACAACAGAGCGCGTTTTCTGAGCGGAAAGTTCGCCGGCCGCCGCGTGGTGCTTCGTCATGTTCGGCGATCAACCGACCGGCCGCGCCCGTGTCGGAAACGTACGCAGTAGTGCGCGCCGTCGACGGACGAATTTAAATTCAAACGGTATTTCGAAACGCGGCGAAATTCGCGAAGAAACCGACCGCGGCGATAGTACTCGGGGATCCCCGCAGGCCGCGGACCCCCGGCGACACTGCGCAATATCGTCAATCGTTGCGTCTATAATACACAGCCGAACCCGTGGGCGCACTACAATTCGAAAATAAACGATCGGGGCGCTCGGCGTTTTTACGCGTGCGACTTTTTAATTCGCGTCGGCACTACGCGAAATATAATACGCGTACGAAAATTCGATTGTTTTTCGGCCGACCCGATCGAAGTCTAGAGGAAATCGACAGCGAATATTTACAAACCGCGCGCGCCAACTGCCGGCCAGCGATGCGTGTTTTTTGTCGAATGCCCAACGGTCGCCGCGTTTTTCGCGATTTTTCCCGCAGCTCGGAACATTATATTGTATTATGGTGTTTTTCAAATAATAGCGATGCAATATGATACGCGTTTGTGTCGTCGGCTATCCGGCCGAAATCTCGTAGGTTTTAATTATTATTTTTTTTTTTTCTTTTCTGTCAATCAAGTCGCGGGATGCGGTTTTTCGACTTATTTCCTCGTGTTAATTTTCTTGCGGCGACGCCGTAATACGCGGCGCACATTAGTCTCGTAAAACGCGTCTGCCCTACCCCACGTAACCTGACCCAACCGACCCTACGAGTGTCGCAGGCGGTACTGGTAATGCGCCGGAACGGTGTAAAAGAGCGAACAAAAAAATTCTAATTAAAAATACATTTCCCCGCGAAAATTTTTAAATCAAAATCACCCCGTGAGGACGGCGTGATGATATTACATTTATCAGAAAATCGCGACCTTTGCGAAGTACGCGTCGTGTAGTTCAATACACGTTGTCGGACACTTGCGGTATAATTTCGCACTATTTATGCGAGCGGCGCAATACCCGCATCCGAAATCCTCGCGTTTTGTCGGCCCGGACTGCCGAAATGTGGCGCGGTCCGGCGTTTTCTTCTACGATGTAATACCGTCGAAAAGATTACCGGTCCGGCAGTATCGACCGGACGGCGACGTTTCACGTATTACCGCCGTGCCGTCCGTCAATGTGCTAACGACATTACAGACACCGCGTATATTATTTTTTTTTTTGTTTATTACCGAATTTCCGTTCAACCCGAATATCGTCGAGCGTATTCTGTAACATTCATAGCAAACGCATCAAACGACGGCGTGTGGGTACGAGTGGGTAGGAAAACAGCGAATCCTCATTTAAATGATTGCACGTTTATTATCCGCGGCGGCGGTCGTTACGGCGCACGTTTTCGCTCGCGAATACAGACGACGTGGCTTTCTTTCGCGGACGGTTCCCGCGCGTTATTATTGTTATTATTGTATTACAGTACCCCCGCCGTCCCACCTCTCCCAATCCTTACCCCGAGCGTGTCGTGGCGCTCGCGGGAATTCGGAAACGTCGTAAATCTTAAAGTTGACTCGGGACCGACCTCTCCTAGTCGTATCGTGCGTACACGACGAAATACGCCGTTTCTCCTCTCTCTCTCTCTCTCTCTTTTACACACACACACACACACACACACTCTCTCTCTCTCTCTCCGCGCGGTCATCTTTTCTCCGGCACGGTCGTACGGCTGTCGTTTTATCTTTTCCACCTCTCGTTTACATGCATAATTCGTCGGCGAAAAACGTCCGCGTGAAAACCGCGTGAAAATCGTATTGTTCGGTATCACCGCGGCCGCGGCGGCGACGGATAAATCGCCGTGCGAATTTTCGGCGGGAACGGCGTCGGCGTGAATTTCCGTCGCGCGGGCGTTAATGAGCGAAAAGCTCGTCGGCGGTGACGGACCAATTAAAACGGCGCCGCGGCCGCTGATTATGCGCGCGCGTCCCGGCGGAGGCGTGGCTGATAAACGGAATAGATAATAATGTACGGGACACCAACCCCGCGCATAATATATTAATTAAAATACCTCCCCGCGCGCCGCGGCCGCCCCGAAAGTTCCGGCGCTCCGCGGGCCCGTAATGCAGCGCCGTGCGTGCGGTTGCGCGCCGCGAGACTACACTGTGGTACGAACACCGCGGCGAGCGTAGGGGGCGGCCAAGCGGCGGCGGCGGTAACGCGCCCGGGCGGGGGCTGTTTTGAATATGCGCGCGCGGCGGTGACGACGACGAACGGGGCGGCTGAAGTGGCGGCGGCGGCGGGGCACGTCGTTCCCCGGCATTAGCATATATATACGCCGCCCCTCCAATACGCACGCGACGAACGCGCTCGCCGCCGCCGCCGCCGTCGTCGTCGTCGTCGTCGTCGTCGTCGTCGCCGTCTCCTCCGTTTCGCCGCCCCTCCGGCCTGTCGGGCCCTAGTGCGCGTGCACGGCCTCTACTTCCTCCCGTTCCGCGACTACGCCGTACGCTACACGTATTCTCGCGTCCTTCTACCGCCCCTCGACGCGAAGACGGCCGCGGCGGGGCCGCCCGTCCGCCCGTCCGCCGCCGCCGCAGTCGCGCGCGGAGAAGACGCTTAATTATACGAAGCGCGCGCGGCGGGGGGCGGGCGGAGGGCGAACCACCCCTACTACGTATAATATATACATGCACGCGGCGCGGCCGCCGCCGCCGCCGCCGCCGAAACGCTCGAGGGGCGGGTGAGGGGGGCGGAAAGCGTGCGCGGCGGCGGCGGCCCCTTTTCCCATGCAAAACAGAAGCGTCCCGGCGCTGCCGCAGGCTCACGCGCGCTCTCCAGCAAAAAAATAATCCCGCGGCCCCGACATCAGTTCCAAATAACCATTCGCTCTGTGATAATATACGGTCTGTGTAGTTCCTCAATTATTATTATTGTATATGTATATATATATATATATATGTATATGAATTATTATTATATATATTATATA